CCCACGTGGGCTGGCCAGCGCTTCTTGCAAGAACCTGTCTAGAATTGCCTCTGTAACACGTCGACTTAATCACCAGCCATATTTCTTATACATCAGGCCAGTATTTCTCTTAGAACTTTGACATAGGAAGGTCCAGTCTTAGTCATCTTAGGAATTAATTATGATTTGCAAGCCCTGCAATGCTATCAGATGCGGTTTCGTGTTCGAATGTAAATAACTAGTTTATCAGGAAAAATCGATGCCCAACCACTTGCACCGTCGGGGATTGAACCCCGACCTGTAAGAAGCGAGGCCCGTCCCTGTGCCGACCAGTCCAAGTGGATAGGCATGTGCAGGAACGCAGTTGAAACTGATTTCGATGCCAACATGTGGCTCTTAACGGGTATCGAACCTGGGAGTGCAAGGTTGTTTGGCTAAAACAATATTTTATATATATATATATATATATATATATATATATATATATATATATATATATATATATATATATATATATATATATAAAGGATACAATGCGGGGCGAGCCTAGATATGAAGCCATGGTGTGGAAAGTCTTAGAACACACACACACAGTACTGTGCGAGAAAGTGCAGGAATGACAGGTGTGTGAGGCATAATGACCGTATCAGCGCAGTAAGAAGCAAAACACACAAAAACAAAACACACACACACACACACACACACACACACACACACACACACACACACACACACACACACACACACACACACACACACACACACACACACGGTACAACACTGAAAAGAACGCTAGTGACGCTTCGTTGCCACATGTCCTCCCCACCCCGCGTTCTTCCCATAGGTCGGGCGGCGATTATCAAGGCCAAAGGGCAAGCACGTGGCACCACTGCAGAGGCGCGCGGAAGGGGAGGGGTGGGGGGGGGGGGGGGTAGGAGGGGGGGGAAAGGGAGGGGGGGGGGGGGGGGGGGGGGTTAGGAGGGGGGGAAAGGGAGGGGGGGAAGTTACACAATGGGGGGGGAGGAGGGAATTAGACCGTGGATAGTACCACTGTTTTTCCCACCTTCTGATTGGCTGTCATAAACGCAATTCTTCGGTTTTAGGGGAAAAAAGTTTGATTGGTTTTATTTTTTCTTAAGGTAAACCAGCTTTTGGGCGAAGGGATGATTGGTTTTTTTGGGAGGTATATGGAAGGGGTTTATTTACATGTGTGGGTTTTTTTTAAACCCTTTATGTCTGGTGTCATTGACGGCTCTCCTTTTATTTGAGATCATTTTATTTTCAGTATTACTATTATTTAGATTAAATTAATCTTGCCAATAAATCAACTTTATTCCTGGCGAGGTGGTAACTCACTCGACGCCTCGCGCGCGATTTGGTCTGGGTTCGAGCCCTGTGCAGAACATGGCAATTCTTAAATAATTACCTCTTTTCACCAAGCATTAATTAAAGATCTGGTTGTAAACCGCTTGGCGAGTTGTGTTTTAGGGAAAGCTAGCATTGTAAGCTTCGCGTAAAGCAATGGGAAGAGAAAGCTCTTACTCAGCCTTTTAACACGAATCAGAAATCGTCTGCTCCTTTTCCTGTGTAAATATATGCGTAGCCACGGAGCCAATCCCCTCCGGTTCATCTCAAGCAAAGATTCAACATTAACCAAAAGGATTATTGCGTGTCCTAGGGTTTCTTATTGCATTCTTGTTGTATTATGTAAATTTTATCATTGTTCTTTCATTTTGTACTGAATTTATATTTTGCAAGTATAGTGAACTGTATTGTGTTATACTTCCAGTGAGTAATTATATGCTACCACCTCGTAAATGCTCGAGATGATCAATGATCCTTTACCCACTGTTGTGTGACTGGTCTTAACCGTCTCAAGGTCACCATCACAACGTCTCAATCACCATCTGCGCTTAACTACACAACCACTTCACTAGCGCTTAACCACTGTGACCACTGTTACTTAGTCTCAGTCTCAGTCTCCCTCAGTCTCTCTCTCTCTCTCTCTCTCTCTCTCTCTCTCTCTCTCTCTCTCTCTCTCTCTCTCTCTCTCTCTCTCTCTCTCTCTCTCTCTCTCATCCACATTCTCACTCTCTTCACTACTACTGTTGCTGCTAGTAGCAAAGTTACAAAAATAATAATACAACTGTATTTTAACTTTATTAATATTAGTACCGTGATAAATTCAGTAGCAGCCATGAGGAGGCAACCCGTTCTCGCAAATTTAATAAGTCAATATTGACTTATTAAATATGTGCATAGGTGACATACTTAACATAATAGATACCCTTAAAAAGATTCATAGAAAACACCGACCTTACCTAACCTTGTTAGTATCTTAAAATAAGCATCTTATTGCTTCGTAATTACAATTATTACCTAACCTATAATAGGTATAGGTTAAGTAATAATTGTAATTACGAAGCAATAAGATGCTTATCTTAATATACTAACAAGGTTAGGTAAGGTCGGTGTTTTCTATGAATCTTTTTAGGGGTATCTATTATGTTTAGTATATCACCTATGCACGTATAATAAGTCAATATTGACTTTACGAATTTGCGAGGAGGAGGACCTGTAGAGTGAGTATTCCCAAGCACACGCCTTAAACCACTGAACCACGATGTGCTAAAGTAATATATGTATGACCTGGGATTCATTTGAATCCTCTAAAGGGGCTCCTGTATGAAGCCTATTCTGATACCAAAATCAGGATTCCCACACACACACATTATCCCACATATAAGCTCTGGTGTATGTATTGGAGGTCCACCCCAAAATATGTCTCTTGAGGTTATCTTGAGGTTATCTTGAGATGATTTCGGGGCTTTAGTGTCCCCGCGGCCCGGTCCTCGACCAGGCCTCCATCCCCAGGAAGCAGCCTGTGACAGCTGACTAACACCCAGGTACCTATTTTCAACTGCACAAATTACACAGAAAGGCCTATAATCTTTTCATTAAAGCCATTAAGCGTTCACATCACCTTTTTACAAGAGAGGTTGTAGTTACCTGTTCCAGTGGGGCCAATATTAACTAATTTAGTATTATTATTATTATTATTATTTTCTACCACAGACGTGGCCAGACATTAACAATGCTAACCAGCATATATACATTTTCTTCTGTCCTCCATGGACATGGTGAGAGATGTGTTAAACGTATAGTTCAGGGATTTATTGAACAACCACAGAAGGTGATTGTAGTGCTTTTAATATGCTAATTTAACCTACATACATAAATACACATATTTATGTCTGTCCTACATCAACAGTGTTCGATGTGAATTTTTACATAGCATTATTAGCGTGAGTTTACATAGGTGAAGTGCAATTCTGACCAGCTTCCACGTAGCCTGTATACAAATACACACACGCATACATATATATACACATATATATACGCATATACATACACATATCCACATATCACCTATGTCTCTCTTATATTAATTGTTACATATCAGGTATACATACCTGTGATATGCCAGGCATACATACCTGAGGGAGACGGTGCTGGGAGCGCCTCAGGTCTCCATATTCACCCTGGGTGACGACGCCTGTCGACAAGGGTGACAACACCTGTCAACAAGGGTGACAACATCGGGGGAATGAGAAGCCAGTTTGGGTAGAGGTGTTTGTAAACAAAGACACAGACAGACACAGACAGACAGACAGACAGACAGTATAACCGTCCAGCGTATCGTCAATTGAAGGAAAAAAACAGAGATTGAGGGGGGTGGGGGGAGGAGAGGGGGGTGGGGTGGGAGAGAGGGGAGAGGTGGGGGTTTGCAGGGAGGAGGAGGAGGAGGACACGGAGAAAATTGCAATCGTTGATTCACAATAGTGAGTGTTGCATAGCCCTTAGGGGGGGGGGAGGGGGAAGGGGGAAGGGGGGAGGGGTTGCCACAATTCAGAAATCAACTTGAGGGGGTTTTTGTGAAGGGCAAACGAGGCAGGTGGAAGATTGCGCATTTTTCGTGGTTGGTTGTGTGTGTGTGTGTGTGTGTGTGTGTGTGTGAGGGGGAGGGGAGGTGGGGTTGTGTGTGTGTGGGGGGGGGAGGAGGAGGGGTGCTTGTGGTGGGGTAGTGGTGGTGGTAGGGGGGTTGATACTTTTAGGGGGGGGGATAATAGTGGTGGTAATGTAGTGGGGTGGGAAGGAGAGGGGGTGAATGGTGGTGGGGAGGGGAAGGGGGTTGGAGGGGGGGGGGTAGGGGTGTTTGACCACGTGTTGCCGGCGGGACCGCAAGGGTCAAGAGAGGTCACGGGCAAAGGGGGGGGGGGGGGTAACGTTCGAGAACTGCGCAATATGGCGGATTCCCTCTGTGGTTTATGTGATGTGGGGGGGGGGGGGGCGGCGCCGCTCAGGTGCTCTACTGGCGGCGGTGCTCTACTGGTGGCGGTGCTCTACTGGCGGCGGTGCTCTACTGGTGGTTGTTATAGATCCTGTTGGCGACTATTTGTATATGTAGCACGTGGGTGAGAAGCATTTACAGCGCTGAGGTTCGAACAGAGGCCGTCAGCTCAGCGCTGAGGTTCGAACAGAGGCCGTCAGCTCAACGCTGAGGTTCGAACAGAGGCCGTCAGCTCAGCGCTGCGGTTCGAGAAGCGTTCGAACGTCATCAGTCATGAGCCGTGTTGAAACAGGTTTTTTTCCATTCATAACCGGAGAAGGGTGGGAAGATGGACACATTTCGTGTCCTCTGGACACATCTCTCACACTCAGGACACATCCCATGCCCCTTACAACCCCTGGAAAACTGGAAAACTGGAACCCCCAACACGCAAAGAATTGAGAAAATCTGGAAGAGCACAACAAAAGCCTCATCCAGGTCGGTACTTTTCCAGTTTTGGCGCGAAAAGAAGGAAGAAAAGGCCAATAATGATGATTTTACTGATAATTATACTACGTAATTATACGTAATTATACCTACGAATTATACTGTATATGTAATAGAATATTGCCTTGTAAAATTTATGTATATATGATTTATATTGTATTTTGTTAAATAAAGAAAAAAATAT